ATCTATCTATCTATCTATCTATCTATCTATCTATCTATCTATCTATCTATCTATCATGTTTCAACAACTTGCCTCTGATGCCAGACTGAGGTTTTGAAAGGTTTTAAGCCCTCAGCATCTAGCACTCCCTGATTAGCACCTTAATGTTTACCCCCCTTCCCTTTTCAGATATTCACTGGACAAATGACATTATCCCTGAGGCCCCACACAACCACACCGCGTGGAGTAATCACAGTAAACTAGAAGGCACAGTGCCCTAAGGTGGCTCCCTTCATAGATACAGAAATGAATTACTCAAGCCTGCAAGCGAGGGGCCACCCTCTGGGGGCTCCAAAGCGCTTCAAAGAGGGGCAGACGGGTTTCCTTTGTACCTGTGCCTCCCTTGTGTTCATTTTCAACGCCACCAAAACTGTGTGATCCCGCGTTGCCGGAAGCATACTTGGATGTGGTGGGGATAGAGGGCCACCTATAGGGTTTGGGTTGCTTATTTTCCATTTGTACCCCAGACGGATGGAGTTCTCACCGTAGAGCCTCTGTAAACAACCAGACTCCCAAAGCACACGGTCTTGCCTCCCTGTCCAGCCCAGTCCGGCCCTTGACCCTCCTGCAAGGGTTCGGAGAGCCACTGAGACTCGGAAGGCCAAGCGCTCCTCCGCTCTTAAGCGCTCCCTTGAGTTAATACCTCCGCACCTCCGCCGGGCTCCCGGGCTCCGCCCTCTCCCCTCTCCGAGGTCCTGGCGGGCTTACCCCGGAGGGGGCGGCCCCAGCTGCCAGCCCGGGCCGGGCGGAGCTCTGTCCCGGGCGGAGCTGAGGCTGCAGCGTCCAGCTGCGGGACCCAACTCGAGCCGAGCCGACTGCGGGAGCGGCGCGAGCCCTCTCCGCCCGGGGGCCCGGCCCCGCAACTCCGCAGGTAAGTCTTGCTCCCCGCACCCATCTCGGTGGCCCGTCAACGCCTGGGGCGTGCGGCACCAGCGGGAGCTGCGCCCGAGGTTGCACTGGGCTCCGGGGAGGAGGTGAACAGCTGTCTCCAACAGCTCGCAACTGCCCAGCGTCCCCCAAAACGGCCCGGAGCGCACGGCTCCCAGAGCTGGCCGAAGCCCCGCGGCGTCCCCCGAAGGCGCGGGCTCCGGCTTGGCCGCCCCTCCCCCATCTCCCGGGGCTCCGGCAGTTCCGGAGACTTTCCCTCCGTCTCTCAAGTATCCGTGGCTCCCCAGAAGCCCATCCCTCCGGGCCCGCCTCCTCGTCGTCACCCGCAGGGCCCCGGGGCCCCCGAGCCCCACACTCCCCGCGGGGCCGCCCCGTCCCCGACCGGCCGGAGACGCGCCGGGGCGGCCGGGCTGCGGAGGAAGGGGCGAGGCCGGCGGCGGTCCGGAGCCCGGCGGGCGGGGCCGGGAAGGGGAGGCGTAGGGGGCCGGACGGGGCGGAGCAGGCGGCCTTTGCGGCCGGCGCCGGGGCGGAGAGTTTGCGCCGGTCCCTGGGCCTGGGCTCCGGCTCGGGCTGGGGCGCCTGCGATGTCTCAAGATGGCGGAGCTGGGCGAGTTAAAGGTACCGGCCCCCTCCCCCAGCCCCGGGGGACGCGCGGCGCCGCGCCGAGGCGGGGAGGCCACCGGGGTGGGCGCGGGCGGCGCGGCTGGGGCTGGCGAGCGGGG